CAGAACATGACCCAAAAAATGACTATGACCAGTTCAGTTAATGGAGTTGCAGGGTCTTTATTGTCATAAAATGGATTGAACAGTCACATGAGTAGTATGAGAGTCTTTCCTTTGAACCTATTTAAATCATCCTACTGAGTTGGCAGAGCCGTAATTCACAATTTAAAAAACAAGTAACTGTCACATTGACGCTTAAGAAGTGGTGTTTGGGGCACCCTATTTACAAGTGTTCCCTTTGTTGGTCTGATCAGCCTGCTTGGGTCACTTTCCCTGTGGTTTGGGAAGCATACGTTGCTGTGTCGAGTGTGTCGAGAGTCAACTGTTGATTCTGTGTGTAGCTTTTTGAACAGCTACTTATCCATATTGAACTAGTTTTGTGAAGTTCAGCGGGGAGTATGTAGCTGGTTTAAAAAATTGTGAAATGTAATTAAGATTGTTTGTGAACTTCATCAAAACTTAATTATTTTTGTTTTCATATTTTGTATGCTGAGTTGTAATCCGAAAAATGTACATAGTTTTAGTGGGAACCAATTATGCAGAATGTTGTTGTATATGGGGCACATATTGGTGACGCAACGATACCTCGTGCGATGTGCGAACAGCGCCATCTTTAGAAGCACATTTGCCGCTGACGGGGTCGGGTGTGCTCTCTCTCTCGCTCATTTGACGAGCGTGCTGGTAAGAACATTTTGAAGTGTATTAAGCTATGTAATCGACTTATTTCGTGAGATAAACAATGTTTAAGTGAAATGAAAAGCTGTGATGTCATGAAATTGAATGTAGTTAATTGCTTGAGTGTTTTACCGAGACTGGTTTTGCTTACTAGCTTTCTCCGTGCTGTTATGAGCTGTATGAGACTGAGGGGGAGAGACGTGTATCCCACGAAAAAGAATATTAATTGTGCCCTGTATTTCTGCAGGTATGTTAAACTGTTTGTGTTTTATGTTGAGAAATGTTTGAAATGTGTTTGATATCAGGTTTAAATGTGTTTGATACATACAAAAAAGTGAGGTCTGTATGCAAAAGTGATGTGATTGTGCAATTAACCTGTGATTTGTGTGATTAACCCAAAATTTGACATTTTTCTCCATTTAATGTATTTTACTACTGCAAGTAAGTGGTGAAGAAATTATATTTTCCCTTGTATATTATTTTGTATGCCATTTAAGGGGGACCTGTGTTTTGTGGCTTACTATATTGTTTGATTTTATTTAATTTTATTATTTGTGTTTTGTATGTTTTGAAACTCTTAGTTGATTAAATTAACATCTTGAGAAGCACATTTGCCGCTGACGGGGTCGGGTGTGCTCTCTCTCTCGCTCATTTGACGAGCGTGCTGCTTTCTCCGTGCTGTTATGAGCTGTATGAGACTGAGGGGGAGAGACGTGTATCCCACGAAAAAGAATATTAATTGTGCCCTGTATTTCTGCAGAATAAAGATCCTGAGACCTCTTCAATCGGCGTTGTCTTCATTGAACAGAAAATAAACACAACCAGAGTAAAACTGCTACACCAACACAATCTACCACTTAGAGTCTGGTTTATGACGTGCTTTTTTTGGGTGGTAGCCTAAATAATGGCGCAAAAACCAGTAAATTGATGAGCGCAAACCTTAGTAAATCACCTTGCATGATTCATTTAAATAATCTCCTCCCATAAATTTTGCTTCTGAAATGGAAACTCCTTCAAATACATATGCAATATGGTCAGCCGCAAAAATAAGTGTCCACGCCTTTTCAGCGCTAATTTTTCACTGCGTGTCTTGTCTCTAAATCCTGACCGTAGTTTAACGCCAAAAATGGGTTTGCGCTGGCGCAAGCTGTTAGTAAATCTGGCCCTGAATATATTAAAGCAGGGGTCTCAAACTCGCGGCCCGCGGGCCATTTGCGGCCCGCGGGGTGATATTTTGTGGCCCCCTACTTGACATTAAAGTTTAATGTTAGTGCGGCCCGTCGTTGCGTGTGCCGCGTTTTTTAAAAATATATATTTTTTTTTATCCCTTATGGGCTACCATAGATAGTCTCGTGACAGTTTACGGTGGGTTTGTTGTCAAAAGTTGTCATAGACAACCGCGAAGTACAAACATACTGCGCCTGGAAAAAATGAGCGCGTCGCTTCAATTATGAGCGCGCTTGCCGCGCACCTACATTTGAAATAACGAACTTGAGCGCGCAAAATATGTGAGCGCGATATGTGAACGGGAGCGACGTGTTGGAGAGAGACCCTGCTCTAAAACAATGTGAGAATAATCATTTTGAGCTTGTAATATGTGTCCAACAGGTTGATAAGAAGGTTTGCTTTGATTTGTGCAGTATTTGCCTGAGACACTATACATGTGTAGAAAGAATTCAATAAGACGGGCAGACATGACTGCAAATATTTGTATTTCAAAAGCAATAATTGTTTTTCTAAGTATAATAAAAGGAAATGTGCCTTCCAAAAAAAACATTCAATATCATTAATGTGTTGTATAAAGAAAATAAAAAGGACATAAGCAAATATAAATATCACAAATATGTGTTATAGACAAAGAAAGTTTGTAAAATGAACTTCAACTGTCAGAAGGACAGCTCATGAAGAACCAATCATGTACAGAAAGGAATGTTCAAATTCAGAGGAACAGTTCAGAAGAAACGTTAATAATAAATATTGAGAAGATTGGATCAGTTGTGCTCCTTTTTTGGAATACTTGAATACTATTTTTTGTGGAATACTTGAAGTAATGCCTGCCCAGCCTGACCCAGACTCTACCTCCAGCGGCCCCCAGTTAAGTTGAGTTTGAGACCCCTGTATTAAAGTATCAATTCAGGTTACTGATACCTCATGTGTGCAAACAAGTAATAACCCAAATATAACTAGTTGTACTGTTATATAGTCACATAGGGAAAAATGCATACAATTTTAAAAAGAACACTATGCAAACATGCTAGTTTTATATCATTTGAAACTGCTACGGAAGATTCATGGGCATTCATTTGCATTATTTGAATGTAAAAAATGAAACATAACCTAAAACCTAACCCGTTGAGACGGTGATACACAAATGTGGACATGTCCGCATTCAAGCATTACACAGTGGGCTTAAACAGCTCAGATTAAGTTCACAAAAAACTGACAGTCATGACCTAAATATGATTTTCATTTACAATTATCAATCCTAGAATTTGGCATTAATAACTTACTTTTCGTACCATCAGTCACACACGCACTCAAGCTCAGAGGATCTCCTGGTTCTTGGCTCATTTTGAGTCAGACTTGTGAATTCACTGAATCATTAACTGGAGACTCGCTCTGAACAGATCATTGAATCAGAGAATTGTTGACTCGAGAACAGTTGTTGACTCGAGAACAGCAGAAATCAGATCAGTCCAATTTTTCATTCCTCCAGCAGAACTCCCAGCCTCCTCTTCCCATAATAGTGTGGGTTTTGTTCAAGAGCAAAGACTCAAATACAGACATTGTTATAACCGTCCTCAGCAATTAAACTACTGGGTTTCTCTAGTAACAGACGTATCAATATTCCACTTAGCAAGATATCGCTTGGCTGCACACTTACATAATTCCTCTGATCATGAAGCCTGTTTGGTGGGGGTTTTACTGGAAAAGGAAAACAGACAGACCCTCGACTGCAGACAACAGCCCAGAGGGCCAGGAGTCTCACTGCCCACTGGCACACAAACCTCAAGTTCATGTTGCACTTTGTTGCTGTAGTCTATCTGCCATTTGATTATTGAAAAGGGCTGGCAGAGAGTATCAAACCCCAACAGCCATTAAAACACTTGATGTCACCAAGTGTATTTTATAAGTTGGCAAATCGCTGTCTCTACTTTTATTGATAAGTTAAAACAGTTAGCATAGTTTCTGCTCAACTTTGCTCCATCGCCAATGATCACCATCAATAAATTAAATATAATAATAATAATAATAATGGAAAAAATGTGAAGCCGGTTTCGGTGGCTAGCCAGGTATGTTTCAGTTTAGTTTGCGCCAATCCTGGGTTTTAGGCAGTGTTCATCGCCATAATATGAACAGAAGAGAGAAGTGATTGGCTGTTTGCTATTGATGTCACACCTAAACTCAGGATAAAAGCCTGAGTTGACAGAGAAAGTTGATCAGCATCATGGTATCAACAAAGCCTGATTGGATTGGTTTGGTTTGGTTTTGTCAACTCAAAAACTAATCCTGTAACCCTGAGTGTGTTCAACTTCCATCATGGTACAGGGCCCAGATTTTGAATTCTTTACAGTGGTGAATCAGAAATCATCACATGGTTCCTTATGTCATGGACCTGAGACACTTAGTACATTAGAAGTACATTTTAACACTTAGTACATTAGAAGCAAACTCAAGTCTTCACGAGACAAAAGCTGAAGAACAAATCAAAGATCAACATGAAAGAAAGAAACAACAGGTTACACCTAATAGGGCCTCTTGTGATGACGTGAGTGTCCTAACTAGCCTGGTGCTGTGGAAATCAACTTTTAATGAGTGGGAATGTGTCTGGAGCTGTCCAGAAGAGCTGCCGTGACGCATGGATGGTCAGTTGGAAATAGAGATGAGCAATTGTTCTCATCTCTAAATCCACAAGAGGGTGCAATATCTAATGCTTATCAGAATTATGACACTTACAAGCTCTGTTCCAAAAACCTAGTGAGCTGCTTATCAAGACAGCATTTAATCTGAGACAACACAGCATATGTTCCATAAATCTAAAAATAATGAATTCATTTCATAATAAGGAAACTGTATCATGTTAGTTTAGCAACATGTAAACAGGTGCAGATTTTGTGTTCGCTTATGAGGTTCCATTTTCAGTTACCAAGAGGGTAACTGTCTATGAGGGAAGCTCACTAGGTTTTAGAACAGAAATAAGCACTCAAGCTTAAGTGTTAACATAAATGGCTTAAACATATTTGTAATGATTATTGCAGGCTTTAAAGGTGCTTTAAGGTGCAAACACTGACTACCATCTTTCAGGGTATTTGAGGAGTCACTCTTACCTCACATTGTCATGCTTTTGAATATAGATCTTGTGGAACATCATATCCTCTTGTTTGGCATTTATGTCGGCTTTCATCTCCATGGCGACATGTCGAGGAAGCACAGAGAGGAGAAGGCGTTCCTGCAAATGATGACAGTGATGGTAAGGGGGAAAAGAGGGGAAAGACACAAACAAAAAGAGAAACAAAGACATCATATCATAGTATCAAGGCATGGTATCATCTCAATATTTCTGCCATACTGTCAAGAATAGAGCAAACCAAAGGACACTGCAGAAAATTACATGAATTCTACTTTAGTCCTATACCACTAGTACTGTGGTAGCATGGTACAGTGATAGTATCAGATGCTAACGTCATGGTATTTCGATATATATATATACACTCACCGGCCACTTTATTAGGTACCCCATGCTAGTAACGGGTTGGACCCCCTTTTGCCTTCAGAACTGCCTCAATTCTTCGTGGCATAGATTCAACAAGGTGCTGGAAGCATTCCTCAGGGAGTTTGGTCCATATTGACATGATGGCATCACACAGTTGCCGCAGATTTGTCGGCTGCACATCCATGATGCGAATCTCCCATTCCACCACATCCCAAAGATGCTCTATTGGGTTGAGATCTGGTGACTGTGGAGGCCATTTTAGTACAGTGAACTCATTGTCATGTTCAAGAAACCAATTTGAAATGATTAGAGCTTTGTGACATGGTGGAAGTAGCCATCAGAGGAAGGGTACATGGTGGCCATAAAGGGATGGACATGGTCAGAAACAATGCTCAGGTAGGCCGTGGCATTTAAACGATGCCCAATTGGCACTAAGGGGCCTAAAGTGTGCCAGGAAAACATCCCCCACACCATTACAGCACCACCACCAGCCTGCACAGTGGTAACAAGGCATGATGGTTCCATGTTCTCATTCTGTTTACGCCAAATTCTGACTCTAACATCTGAATGTCTCAACAGAAATCGAGACTCATCAGACCAGGCAACATTTTTCCAGTCTTCAACTGTTCAATTTTGGTGAGCTCTTGCAAATTGTAGCCTCTTTTTCCTATTTGTAGTGGAGATGAGTGGTACCCGGTGGAGTCTTCTGCTGTTGTAGCCCATCCGCCTCAAGGTTGTGCGTGTTGTGGCTTCACAAATGCTTTGCTGCATACCTCGGTTGTAACGAGTGGTTATTTCAGTCACTGTTGCCCTTCTATCAGCTCGAACCAGTCTGGCCATTCTCCTCTGACCTCTGGCATCAACAAGGCATTTCCGCCCACAGAACTGCCGCTCACTGGATGTTTTTTCTTTTTCGGACCATTCTCTGTAAACCCTAGAGATGGTTGTGCGTGAAAATCCCAGTAGATTAGCAGTTTCTGAAATACTCAGACCAGCCCTTCTGGCACCAACAATCATGCCACGTTCAAAGTCACTCAAATCAACTTTCTTCCCCATACTGATGCTCGGTTTGAACTGCAGGAGATTGTCTTGACCATGTCTACATGCCTAAATGCACTGAGTTGCCGCCATGTGATTAGCTGCTTAGAAATTAAGTGTTAACTTAATAGACATGTAGACATGGTCAAGACAATCTCCTGCAGTTCAAACCGAGCATCAGTATGGGGAAGAAAGGTGATTTGAGTGACTTTGAACGTGGCATGATTGTTGGTGCCAGAAGGGCTGGTCTGAGTATTTCAGAAACTGCTAATCTACTGGGATTTTCACGCACAACCATCTCTAGGGTTTACAGAGAATGGTCCGAAAAAAGAAAAAACATCCAGTGAGCTGCAGTTCTGTGGGCGGAAATGCCTTGTTGATGCCAGAGGTCAGAGGAGAATGGCCAGACTGGTTCGAGCTGATAGAAGGGCAACAGTGACTGAAATAACCACTCGTTACAACCGAGGTATGCAGCAAAGCATTTGTGAAGCCACAACACGCACAACCTTGAGGCGGATGGGCTACAACAGCAGAAGACTCCACCGGGTACCACTCATCTCCACTACAAATAGGAAAAAGAGGCTACAATTTGCAAGAGCTCACCAAAATTGAACAGTTGAAGACTGGAAAAATGTTGCCTGGTCTGATGAGTCTCGATTTCTGTTGAGACATTCAGATGTTAGAGTCAGAATTTGGCGTAAACAGAATGAGAACATGGAACCATCATGCCTTGTTACCACTGTGCAGGCTGGTGGTGGTGGTGTAATGGTGTGGGGGGTGTTTTCCTGGCACACTTTAGGCCCCTTAGTGCCAATTGGGCATCGTTTAAATGCCACGGCCTACCTGAGCATTGTTTCTGACCATGTCCATCCCTTTATGGCCACCATGTACCCATCCTCTGATGGCTACTTCCACCATGTCACAAAGCTCTAATCATTTCAAATTGGTTTCTTGAACATGACAATGAGTTCACTGTACTAAAATGGCCTCCACAGTCACCAGATCTCAACCCAATAGAGCATCTTTGGGATGTGGTGGAACGGGAGATTCGCATCATGGATGTGCAGCCGACAAATCTGCGGCAACTGTGTGATGCCATCATGTCAATATGGACCAAACTCCCTGAGGAATGCTTCCAGCACCTTGTTGAATCTATGCCACGAAGAATTGAGGCAGTTCTGAAGGCAAAAGGGGGTCCAACCCGTTACTAGCATGGGGTACCTAATAAAGTGGCCGGTGAGTGTATATATATATAGATAATGATCAATGTTCCCTCAATTTATTTGATTTTAATTTATTTGATATATTATTTAATTGTATATTTATATAGAGAATTTATATAGAAACTAAAACAGCTTTCTGTTTTTACTTACTGTATAATTCCTAATAAAAAAAAGTCTAAAATCTAATAAAAAGCTTTAATAAAAAAATAAAAATAAAAAAAAAATTTCTTGTTACATACATTAAAAAAATGTTACACTAACCGTCAGAGGTGGAAAGTAACGAATTATATTTACTCGCGTTACGTAATTGAGTAGTTGTTTTGTGTACTTCTACTTTTTCAAGTAGTTTTTAAAATCTGTACTTTTACTTTTACTTAAGTACGTTTTGTTTGAAGTATTTTACTTCGCTACATTTGAAATCATATCCGTTACTGAGTAAAAAATAATAATACAAGAAAAAAAAAGAAAAAACACACTCCGGAAACTAGTGCATTGGTTGAAGGGCGGGAGAACAAACGCGCAAGAAAGGTGACACAGACCCAGCTGAAGCTGAAAGCTCCCTCAAATTCTTATGGAGCGAATTATGGCCAGTATGAAAATACTTTGTAGGAAAAAAGCGTGGTTGTCCTCGAGGATAGATATCCAATTTGCAAAAAATGTGGACGCAAAGTGCATGGCTGCAAAAGGAGGATATAGGACACCATCCCTCCTGCAGATAAAGGTATGTCCCGATTATAACTTAAGGCCGAATGACGTGATGCAGAGGGAACCCCGGAATCCAGTCATGAAAATGGAATTATTCACTTAACGCAGATGTCACGTAAAACATGAAAAATAATGGATGAATGAATACATGGAAAGTAGAACTGTGCAATAAATCCAATCGCGACATGGTCTGTGAATATTTAAGCACAAAAATACTGCATGTAACCCTATTTGTTCTGCTGAGCTGCGCTGCTTTGTCTACTAGGCCTACATACTCAAGTATGCGTGACATTCATGGTGTTTTCAGCGTCTCAAAAAACATTTTGAGGATATGAATACATGAACATTTCCAGAGCTGCTCTGAGAGAATGCCTAATGAGCATTTTCATAATTTTATTTGAGAAAAACCATAGTCAAATACACTTTGAAACACTTTTTTACACTTTTGGTCTTCACTACAACCCGTCAAAATAAAAGCTCGGTTTTACTAGGAGAAATTATGACAGAAATATATTACTATTGTAGGCATACAATAGAACATAGCCTACTTCTCAAAATAATAATAATAACAACAATAATAGATTTTATTTAAACATTATTTAAAGAAATATATTTTTTGTCCATGGTTTAATTTAGTAAATCTGTTTTTGCAGCGCTTCCCCAAAAAATAAAAGGACACAAGTTTAAATTTACATTTGATTACCACCGTTTTTAATAATATATTTGGATTAAATCATAAAAAGAAACATTCATTTTCTGAATAAAATACATTTCATAGGACAATATTATTCTTAAACATTTTAATAATTAATTAATGTTAAAAATACGTTGTTAATCTAATTTATTATCAATTATCGAATTTAATTGATTAGACATGTTTTATTGAAATTTTAATAAACAAAACAAACAAATGGTTTCAAGTTTGTTATAATTAAAAGCATTTGTTCAACCAAAAAAACCCGTTTTATTAATTTAACTGTCATTTTAACTGATGATGATAATAATAATAACCATAATTTAATAATACAGTTTATTTAATAATTGATTAATACTGTAAACCGTGATATTTTCTGAGACGTTATCATACTGTGAAAATCCCATAGCATTACAACCCTCCCCCACCCCATCCCCGCTGTTAAAAAAGTAACTCAGTAACTTACTGAGTAAATTTTAAATGAGCTACTTTTTACTTTTACTTGAGTAGATTTTTAGACCGGTAATTTTACTTGTACTTAAGTAAAATTTCATTGAAGTAGTAGTACTTTTACTTGAGTAGAATATTTTATTACTCTTTCCACCTCTGCTAACCGTGGAATGATAATAGTTATTTAATACTGGTAAGTTATCTAGAGGCTGCTGTTATTTTTGAAAGACTTGATATGAAAAAAATAACATATCACATGTTTGTCGAAATAATGATGCGTGGCCCCTGTGGGCTTCTGTGTGTGAGGAAACAGCCATTATTTTTCCCTTTGGTGCCACTATGAATCACCAGACTGTAGGATGTGGTTCTAATCTCATAAATTAATCAGCACTGTGTGTCTCCATGCACAGGTTTCTTCATAGCCTCAGTTCCATACTGAAAATCATTGGACATGTGAATGGACTCCAGCTGAAATGCTGTCCATTCATTTAGCTCTAATTCAAGCAATCTGCAGCTATTTCCCCACACATGTTTGAGTCTGTCTTCTGGGCATACTTTTTTCCTCATTCGTACAGCTTAGAGGAAACATTTGCATTGAACGATTATCATGCTGCTAATATAATTTAATATAGTTTTCATATGGTTCTCCTAGGTATTTAAAATAAATGCTATATATTAATCATGGTACTTTTGTTACCCAAATATGGTATTTAGGCACTTAAGCCACACTTAAAATTGTATGAATATCTTTCCGTTATAAGACAAAATATCAAAACAAGTGGCTTTTATTTTAAAGAATATATTATATCACAATATCAGTAACATTTACAATAAGATTTCATTTCTTTACATTAGTTAATGTATCAACTAACATGAACTAACCAAAAGCAATACATTTGTTGTATCTGTGTTAATTGTATCTGTGTTAACGTTACTCAACTAATGTTAACTAATGAAACCTCATTGTAAAGTGATACCATTATATCTATCCATCTACAATACTGTTCAAAGGTTTGGCTCAGCAAGTTTTTTTAATGTTTTTGAAAGAAGTCTCTCATGCTCACCAAGACTGCATTTATTCGATCGCTGACCCCATACTTTTAAACAGTAGTGTACCTGTGCTTAGGAAATCACCAAGCTGAGCATCAAATCTTTCAGACTCACAGAATGACACTAGAAATTAAAAGATGCTCTGTAACCACAGGAGTCCTCTTGATTTCTGTTGGTCTCTTACCTGTTGCTGGTTTTCTCTCTGAGAGTGCAGACGCGCTTGAATACATTCTCTTGTCTCCTGGAAGGCTTGTCTCTGTGAGCCTTCTGCTGGGTAGTGTGTGCACACGCCAACTATATTAGTGCAGGAGAAGATCAGGACATTGGACACGAGCTGTGAAAGAAAGCAGAATACAACATCAAACTATTTGAAACATGACAAGTGAGCTCTTTATCCTTCAGAAACCCAATCATCATTTACTTGCAGGGCTCCAGAATGCAACTAAATGGTTGCATTTTGTGACTTTTTTCCCTACCGGTGCAAATACATTTTGTTTCACACTGCCCAACTAATAAGAGCAAAATATGCGACACAGCAATGGGAGATCCAGTGAGAAGCATTCAAATTCCACCCAGAGTTCTCTGCTATAAACCATAGATATCAGATCAAGCAGCGCTGATGTGGAAACCAGGAGAGACATTGTGCCATGAACGAAAAAGTTATAGAAGGCTTTTCAGTCTAGCCTGGCAAGCCAGAGCCACATCAAGATGTTGGGTCTGGGAAGTCACCATTGGCAGAGCTCAATCCGAGGGACGGGATAAACGGGTGTCTTTCAAATTCCCTCTGCACGCAATAGGATAGCGCTACAACCAACCAGAGCGTTTTCCCACCAGCGGAGCTAGTTGAAAGATTAAACTTTTGCCGTATCTGGTCGGCAAAACTACAAACACATCTTCCTTTTTTAAGAATGACTTAAGTAAGCTTTTCTTTGAGAAAAGAACAAAGAAAAGCTTAAAGGAGAACTCCGGCGCAAAATGAACCTTTGGTCTAATAAAACATAGGTACCTAGTCAACCGTTCTCTGAGATTTGTTTTTATGATAATCGAATGTAAAGAGTTTTATCTCTAAAAACTGTTTAGCGTATAACGCTAGTAATGGGGGCATATAATAAGTAAAAAGAAATCGCTAGTTTATACCACTAACAAGGCTCAAAATAGCCCCACACGAACACAGTAACATAATGAGGGTCCCCACATGCAAAACGAAGCATTGAGAACTTTGTAAGTGTACAGACCGTTTAATAAGAAGATAAGGATAAAGACAGTCCACTCCAGGGGCTCCAGTGCGTCATCGAGCCCCGTTTTAGCCCCGCCCAAAAAATCCGGAAAATAGCAATGGTGAAAAACTGTTTAACGGTCTAACTCCACAATTCAGTACTTCACAGTTCACAGTCTTTGTAATATGTTTTAGCAATACATTTCTAACATTTATAATGGGTTTAGACATTTTTTTTAGAATTGCCTTTACAGGAAAAGTCACAAATAGCTCATGAAAACAAAAACTTCAAATTGCGACTGAATTACACAGACAGCAAGTAAAGAGCGTTCCTTTTATAATCACTGAAGCTGTCGGTCAGTTCAGTATGATACTAGAAGAACAATGGCACATTTAATAAGAGTAGAATATTAGAATTTTTCCCTATAAAAATAAGGTCTTTGCACATTACTGTTGTTAATATAAGTAATATTAGCAATAGTAATTTAACAATAGTAACAACAAAATAATAGTAATTTTATGATTAAATTACCCCCAAACAAGATTGGACCCCAATTACTTTGTATTTTATTTTATTTTAGACATTCTTTAAAATATCTTCTTTTGTGTTTCACAGAAGAAAGTATAAGTCATACAGGTTTGAAATGACATGAGGGTGAGTAAATGACAATTTAAATTTTTGGGTGAACTATCCCTCTACTATCTATTTAAGAAACCACTTGTTATAAAAAATAATGATATTTGTTTTATTTTCAGTATGAAACTAAGTTGACAATCATCTGGAGTAGTTTGTCTATGATTTACTGAATGGAGTCTGTTGTGTAAGTCTTGGCATTCTGGGAGTTTCAAACTAATACATTTCTGCCAAACTATTTTTTTATGAAATATGGTGTGAGCTGATGTTTTGTATTATAACCCATTTTTATTAAAATAGATAATATATAATTTGTTACTATTACATTTGATTACTCCAATGCTGAATATGTGGTTACAGCCTTGCAGTCAAGAAGTTAACTGGAAATTGTAATACAGAAGAGTTTCAAACACACATACAAAACACACACACACCTTACTCGACTTTTACATTGTGATGTCCAAGATGAGTTTGTGGTTAAGAGAAAGCAAATCCAGGATGTCTGCAAACTCAAAATAGAGCGTATGATAAAGACTAGCCAACAACCTGAAGCTGTTCAGTGTCAACGCGTTTCAATTTATCAGGGTTAAAAAGGCCCTCCTCCCTCTCTTCCACAAGCGGGGTCAGGAACAGGGCGTCTTGACTCCTTCTAAACACTGGTATCAGGGGCAGCGAGACGCATTCCCATTATCTTTGCTTGAGCTGGACTGAACTTCAGTGGACATACTGTATCTCTGCCATGACCTCAGGGTCCAAAGCACAGCCGCACCAGATGCTTCACCCTTATATGGACTGCGTTAACATAACTTTGCTTTTGCTTTATTTTGTCTCTAAATTATCCGATTTGATGGTCTAAACAGTTACTCTACTTTACTCTTTATTGTGTATTTTTGCTTCAATGATTAGTATAAAAGTTGTAATTATTCAGTGATTAGGATGGGTCATTCATTGTTGAAAAAAAAATTCTTGTGAACAAATGACACAAAAAACATGAAATAAATCCAATAAATCAATAAATCCAATAAAAGATGCGAATTAGCTTAACAAGTTTGTTGCGCATGACAAGGTGAACATGACATTATCAGGGGAAGCTTTAATATGCTTCTGCTATAATGTTTTTATGAAAACGCTAATGATATCTAATGAAACAAACAGACACAAAAGTATGTTTGCTGAAAGTTGACTAATTTCATGATTAGAAAATGGAGAAAGTGGAGAAGGGCAACCAATAATGATTACGATAGGACAGACGGACGGATAAAGTGAACACTTGATTGATTGGATGGATGGACGGACGGACGGATGGATAAAGTGAACACTTGATTGATTGGATGGATGGACGGACGGATGGATAAAGTGAACACTTGATTGGATGGATGGACGGAGGGGCGGATGGATAAAGTGAACACTTGATTGGATGGATGGACAGAGGGACGGATGGATAAAGTGAACACTTGATAGGATGGATGGATAGATAAAGTGAACACTTGATAGGATGGATGGATAAAGTGAACATATGATTGGATGGATGGACGGACGGACGGACGGACGGATGGATAAAGTGAACACTTGATTGGATGGATGGATGGACGGACGGACGGACGGATAAAGTGAACACTTGATAGGATGGATGGATAGATAAAGTGAACACTTGATAGGATGGCTGGATGGATGGATAAAGTGAACACTTGATTGGATGGATGGATGGAGAAAATCAGCTGATACCCGATATGGTGCTGATATATTATGCATGCCTAGAAAAGAGCAGCATTAAGAGCGGAATAAAATTTCAGAATTCAGGTTTGAAACTACAAGTTACCGGTAATAATGACAATTTTCTAATTTTGGATCTATTTATGGCTACCACCACTCAGTAAAAAAATGCAGGAATCACAACAAGAGACCTCGTGAAAATAAGTCGGAAGCAAATAGAGAGACTGAAAGCAAAGTGTGAGAAAGGACTGGTTTTGTGTCACACATCCAAATGAACACATCTAGACCTCCATTTATTACACGCATGTTGATCCCTCAGCGATCGCAGTATCAAGGCTGAGGGAGTCTATGACGAAAGGCTGTGTCTGGCCCTGAAAGTCATTTCATTTCAGCTCAGTTAACTTCTGCAGATTGAATATGTGATATCAGACTATAACATTATCTGGGATCAGCAGCTGCAGTGTTGGGTGTCTGCTGCATTGAGCGCAGGAGCTTTGGGACAGTTGTGCATTAACTTCACCAATGCCATTGAAATACATACAGTAGACACTGCAATGAAAATATTCCTGAGCAATAATCCTCTCTATTAATACACTCCCTTTTTTATGTTCCGTAATGTCCTTATTAGGAAGTTAGGAAGGCGGAATCCCTGTCACCGAGTAAGAGGGGATGCATAATAGTGCTTCTCAGCCGTAGGAATGCGGGGCTATCAGAGTGGGAATAAATATAGTAGGAGCTTTGTTGTTTTTAACGGATTAATATGTGCATCACGCTTCTCAAATTAGCCTTTTGTGTTTCATCTTCATGTGCTTCATATGTTATTTATTCATGATGAATGGTATTAATGCAAACTGCCACCTTGACAGATGCAGCCAATATTCTACATTTGTTGTAAACCCGAATAAGTTGGCACAACTCAAAAAATTTAAGGCAATAAATTGCCTCAAATTTTTTAAGTTAAGAAATTCAAAAAGTTTAAGTAAGCAGAACTGACATATTTTTATTTTGTGTTTGTACATTTGAATTGTTCTTAACTTGAAATGTTTGAGTACACTAATTCATACATTTAACTTAAAATTTCATGTAATCTCAATGTGAACACTTTTATTAGTATAAACTTAGTTTGCTAACATACTATTTTGTTAACTTCTTAACAATAGTATGCTATACAGTAACACTTGCAGCAATATAAAGGTTTTATTTGCTCTCAAATCAAGCTCATGCACCACTTGTCACCATGATGGTAACTATCCTAAAACCAACATTAACAGAAATTCTTCTAAATTAGCATAACGAAACATTAATCATTACTAAATCACCCGCTTAACATTAATCTTGCACAAAAAAACATTGTATTACACTTAATTTTAGCATTTACTCTCCCTTTCGAGTGCCATCGGCAAAGCATGCTGGGAAATATACATCCCAGCCGTTTCAGTTAAACTTAAGTTCGTCTAAATTAAAAGAAATAATTTCATAAAACTCAAAACAATGAAACAGTTCAGTTTACTTCAAATATATCCATTCTGTGAACTTGAAAGAAAAAGAAAGTGCTAAATACTCATAAAAGTTAATTTGACTGAACTAATTAGTTTAATTTAAGTTTGTCCTACTCAAACCAATTAAGTATTTTGAGCGTTAGGGTTTACAGTAATGAGCAGAGCAGCGGGAGGATGGGTCAGTCATGGATCCTCTGGGAAGCCAATCACTCACTCACTGTCAAGGCCAGCCAGTACAGCAAACCTGCAGGTGCCAGTTGCAAACCCTATGA